AACATTACAATTGATTTAAAATTCTGAAGACAAGTCATGTCTGCGAGCGGGCAAACATCCATGACCCGGAACGAACGATTGAAAACCGCGATCCATGAAACTTATGACAATAGCAATGCATGACAGCGTGCACTTACAACGCTACAACGCGATTTACCACACTTTTTCCAGCTATCCGCGGTCTCAAACAGCTGCAGGCTCTACATATGCAGAAGAACAATATAACGGCTTTGGAAGCTCTGAATTTTCTCAACCTTCCCGTGCTGAATCTGCTCAATTTGGCTGGCAACAAAATCTCAGATGTCAACAGACAAGCTTTCCTGAACGTCCCACAATTGAAGTATCTGTATTTGACGAACAACAAGATCTCAAAGCTTACTGCCCATCAATTTGCATCATTTGATCAAATCGAGATGATCGATTTAACAGGAAATGAAATCGTCGATATACCAACTGAATGTATGGCGCAACTACCTCAGCTGAGGCAATTGTTCCTCGGTGGAAACCATATCCAAACTATTGGCAAAAATGCATTTGCCAATAGTTCTATCGTGATACTGAGCCTGGTAAATAACCAACTGAAGGAAGTCACCGAAGGAATGTTGGATGGCATGCCTAACCTACAAAGCGTCGTCTTCAAGGGTAACAAGGTTAGTGAGAATGTTTCGATAAGCTTTGAGATTATGTTTATTTATCTTATCGCATTTTGCCTGAAGCAAATCAGACCGATTCACATCATATTAAGAATGCTTTTATCAATTTCGCCTATTGAGTTATCTGTCCTGTATCTACTGTTATTATCTCTAAAGGCAAGAAATTTTAAAAAAAAAAGCTTCCCCCTCCCTGAGTGGATTCAACGAAAAATCACTTTCACGTTTCCGTAGTGTTCTTTTGAAAGGATTCACTTCTCGTCCAGTAATTGTTGCATTAAGAGTGTAGCGGAAGAAGAATACAGCGAAAATCAATATGTTATTTAAAAAAAAACCAAATTTTTGACAAGTGGGACATTTAGAGGGTCAAGTAAACCTTTCGCACAAGTGCAAAAATCTTTTTGGGACAAACAAATGAAATTCTCAAAATTTGTTATGAAAAATGTTGACAAAAACAGCTTAGCTTTCGTTCGCAAAATCAAGAATTTCTCTATCTAGAAAGAAGTCGCCGTTTCGCTTCTCTATTAAAGAAGAAATTTTGATTACCCCTTATATTGGTGGTAACGTTACTAGAATGTTAGCTTCCAAGAACTTCCCGAAACATTGATTGCGCTCCAACTTTTAACGCACTTTCTCTACCATTTCTTTTCTCCTTTTCTCTTTTGTCCTAG